AGAAAAAAAAGCCCGGGGCGGGGGGGGCCAGCCGCGGGCATGCCCGGGCCTCGGTGGCGCCAGAGCGTCTCTGTGGGGCCCGGGAACGCGGCGGTGCTTTGCAGAGTCACCTTGACAAAGACGAAGTGAAATTCTCCTCCCCCCCCCCAAGCGCAAGAGATGCGTTCCCTGACGAAAACAGCACGTTTTCAAGCGTTTGGGCAAGGGTGCCCTACCCCTTGGGGTGCTTCCCCCTAGCCACAGCTCTTGTCAGGTGGAAGCACCAGCTGGGGGACATTCCCCAAGCTGCTGTCTTTCCAAAAGTTGGGAGCTGCTCCTGGCTCCGTTTTCTTTTCTGCTAAAAAGCCACTCTGCGCTTGACAAGCCACCGCTTACTCCTTTATTCTGGTGATTTGGAGGACTGCTGTACGTTAAGGTGGCCTCACGCTCTTGGAGAAGTCAGAGCAGAGCCACGCTGTGGGCAGGGCTGCGGCTTTTGCCCTGCGCGCTGGCCGCAGTCCCCCTTCCCCGGCCAGGTGAGCTGCTCGTCTGTTTACTTGGTTCTGACAATGACAGTAGGTGATTCCTGGAGCAGCTCTGGAGAAGTAATTCTGCGATGCCAGGTGCTTCTCCTTCATAAAAATCCTAAAGCAGCAAAGCATAATTATTCTCTGACTCACGCTCCTCTGTAAGGTGTTGCTAAATACCAAACAAATGAGCCTGATTCTGCCTTTGGCGGTAGCAGGAAAAATCCAGTGTAACATCAGCTGGGTAGGGAACATCACTCCACACTCACTCCAGTGTCATTAGGAGCAGAGTCTGTTTCCATTGTTTATTTCCGTTTAAATGTATATACATTCCTCCCTTGACGCCTATGAGTATACTTAATTGTAGGAGTATTCACTGTCTTTAAATTCTCCTGCTTTTGACTGTTTTTTGCTGCGCTTACCCATACATTAACTGAAATTAATCAAATATGCTTCATTATCTGTCCTCCGATCTGTGCTTTATCTTAGTTTGGGAAATAGTTTGAAAATCCCCCAACAGGTCTCTGATTTCTGGGAAGGGTTTCAACTTGTGTGACCCCACTATATAAAGGACATGCTGATAATGCAGCTGCTTCTGCAGCAGGCACACAGTGGAAACTGGATTACATCACAGTGAAGTGGAAGGGGAATTTTTTGAAGAAAACGAAGCAGCACATATAAAGCCCCTAGAAATTAACAGTCTTTAAACCTAAGAGAAACAATTGCAGTTACCTTGTCTGACCTAACTTCGCTGGTCAATTCTTGACTGAACTAGAACAGAACTTCCTAAACTAATTTATGTTCTGAGAGCACATGAGGTTCTGCCAGCTTTTTCCACAGGTGGTTCACGGCACCCTATTCGTCAGCAGAATTTAAGGATTTATTTGTTTTGCCTCAGTCTGCTTTGTAGTTTCCTTGACTTGCTTGGAAACCTCGAGGCCCCTGAGAAATTTTTAGAGTTCTCAGATACCATCAGTTCAGACAATTTGTAAATCCTTACAAATCCTATGATTTGTAAATCATAGGTTTCAGAACAACAACAGACAGGACCTCTGTTTGTTTTTTTTTCTACTGCAAACACTTTGAAGTTGACTATCAATCTGTCTGATGATCAGGGCAGTCTATCCTGGGGGTAATGAAGGGAGGAGAAAACCACACTGGGCTTCGAAGCAGAGGCCTGAGAAAATCTAAGTAAGTTAAAATGCCACTAAAATTCTCCTATAACTACTTAGACTTCTCTCTTGTAGCATACTTTGCTGCAATTTGATATTTCACCTCACCTTACTCTAATCCAAAATGATGTAAGAGGGAAGTTCCTTTTTTTTTTTTTTTTTTATTTACACTAAGGGAAGGTGACCAATATTGTGGTACTGGTAATAGGTACCGGAACAAATATGGCATCTAATAGCTCTCCAATTTAAAGTTAAATTCAGAGGGTTTTGACCTAAAGCTCAACAAAAACTCCACAGGGATTCTGTATACAAACACACAAAATGCACCCTTCACCAAGGGTCCAGGCGGAAGGGAGCGACGTTACAGGAAATTGTTCTTGGAGAGCCCTTCTACTTGTCAGTCACAGGCTGCTGCAAACCAGGGAGGTTAACACACCATCTAATTATTTGATGGGATTCATATTCTTTCACAAACGTGATGAATAATGCACATGTGTTTGGTCAAGCCAGAGGAAAATTGTTCCTTCTCCAGCTTATTATTAACTCCTTGTTGTATAATGTACTTGAAATAAGTTTGTTCCATGGCATTTTAATATGTGGGTGGATGATATTTGTATGTGAGTAATTTTAACTGTTACACACGCTTCTCTTTTATGTTTGAATTGAAATTAGAGAACAAAAAAAGTATCCTTTCCACCTGGGTTTGCCCCTGCTTAACGCAGGCATGTTTCCTACGATGGGTATTCTGCAGTTTTTGTCTACTCTAGCTTTGAAAGGCTGCAGTGATGGGGCTTAATCTGAAGAAAGGAGCTCATTACTGGTTTGTGTTTCTTGATATTCTGGCTTTATTTCCCATTTTTTTAGTTAATCTTATCACATGTTCATATGTGTCCTTGAGACTGTTCAAAATATTTTCCCTGTTGTTAAGCCTAGAATATCAGTGCATAGCTTTAATTTTTGTCTACTGCTTTTATTCTTACTAAACCAAACTGCATTTTAATTGTGATTTATCTTCAGTCCTCTACAGAGACCCATTTTTTGCAATTCACAATAAGTGTATTTTAAGAACAAAGTCCTTTTTCTTTTAAACAGCAATGAATGTTCATTCTCAGAGCCTTACAGAAATTTAAACAACTTCTGTACATCCCTTTGAGAGCACACACCGCTCCCAGATTTTCTGCTCCAACTCTCTTCATTCCAATTTTGTAGGAACTTCGGAGGACTGCTGCTTTTCAAGACGAGCAAGACTGGGGTCCTGGAGCCCTCTGCTGGGTATCTTATAGAAGGCAGACAACTGAAAGCATAAGTCATTACTCTGAAAATGCTATTGCCGTGCTCTCATATTTCTTTCGCAGTTGATTACAAATGTGCTTAATTTGAAATCCATAAGATGTTTCTTTCCGTTGCTCCTGGGAGGACTCATGTTACAATTTTAGAGTCTCACAGGTAAATTAATCTGCATCTCGAGGTTACAATTAGATTTGTTAGAGCCTTTTTGTCTTTACCCTTCCTTGGTAACAGGAAACTTCTATGCGAATATTTCCTTGGTTCTTTTTGTCACTCTTTGCCTCCTCTTATTTACTGCTACGTGTACATCTCATCACAGTTACAAAGGTCTTGTAGTCAAATAACAGACAATTCTGAGGTTGGCTGTGACAAATGAAGCTGTTTTATTCCTGTATTGTGACTTATTTAGCTTTCTAGTGTTCACGGGTATAAAAACTTTTTTTTGTGGGTGACAGAGAAATGAGCAATTTATCTAAAAATAAATAGTGAAGTATGTGAATAATAAGTAAATGAATAATTTGTCTGTCGTCTTTCTGTCAGGGAACTGACTGTGCTTTACATTTGTGTCTTATAATTTTATATACAGTAGGCTGGAGCACAGAAAGATGACATGTATTTCTAAAAGTCTCAGTATGAGTCTGTGGCAGAGCCAGAAAAAGGAAGCAGGAATTTGTGTTCCCTGACTCATCCTACAGTTAGAAGTGTGCTACTTAGGAGCATTTCTGAGGATGTGAAAAAAT